GAGAGAGAGATTTATATGTATAATATATACATATATATACATATATATGTATATATATATATATATATATATATATATATATATATATATATAATATATATATATATACATATATATATATATATATATATATATATATAATATAATATATATATATATACATATAAATCTCTCTCTCTCTCTCTCTCTCTCTCTCTCTCTCTCTCTCTCTCTCTCTCTCTCTCTATATATATATATATATATATAATATATATATATATATATATATAGATATATATATATATATATATATATATATATATATATATATATTATATATATATATATATACATATAGATAGAGATAGAGAGAGAGAGAGAGAGAGAGAGAGAGAGAGAGAGATTATATATATATATGTTTATCGTATCTATTCATATATTTCTCTTTATATAAAAACATATATTATATATATATATATTATATTATATATATATATATATATATATATATATATATATATATATATATAGTTTTATATAAAGAGAAATATATGAATAGATACAGATATAAAACATATATATAATCATATCTCTCTCTCTCTCTCTCTCTCTCTCTCTCTCTCTCTCTCTCTCTCTCTCTCTCTCTCTCTCTCTCTCTCTCTCTCTCTCTCTCTCCTCTCTCTCTCTCTCTCTCTCTATATATAATATATATATATATATATATATATATATATAGAGAGAGAGAGAGAGAGAGAGATTTATATGTATATATATATATGTATGTATATATATATATATATATATATATATATATATATATATATATATATATATATATATATATATATATATATATATATAATGTTTTTATATATACATAAATGCATACATACACACACACACACTGTGAATATACGATTGTATACGTACATGCAATTAAGTTCCTACATGGCTGACCCCCCCCCATTATTCCAGCCACGCCCCTCGAGAGCGAAGCATCCGATCCCCCCCCCCCCCCCCCCCCCCCGCCCGCCGCCCGCGAGAAGTCGGCGGCCCATCCCGCCCACGCGAGGTTTTATGGCCCGGGCTCACAGTTCCCCCTCGAGTGCCATGAGTTGGAAGTTGCTTCTCTTTTCATTAATCCCTTTTGTTGATGAGGTTTCCGACTTTTATCTGCAGAAAATCTCTTCCCAAGGACTCTCTTCCCTCTGGTTTCATCCTTCAGCGCTTTCGGATTCGTGCACTCTGTCTTCGGCCCGCCTTGTCGTGGTCGGCCTCTTCCTCTGGCCTCGAGACGGAAGCAGCGGCTCTCGAAGCACCAAGGGATGAAAGCATCATTTCCAACTATAAAAATGTACGTCACACGGGATATGCATTTCAGAATTTCACCTGGCACGAGTAAAAGAGCACGAATACATTTTAACACTGGTGGATTTATTCGGTAATTTTATACGCTTTGTGGTAGACAGGAGATATGCATATGACTAATGGCATTGAACAAAAGGATTGATGTGCATTGTAATTTAATTTCAATGCCTGTAAATCTGTTTCTGCATTTCAATATCGTTCCGTAGCTTTTTAACACTTGGTGTGATCCAATCCCCTAATTTGTTATGCAATAACACAAGAAAATAAGTTTGAAAACTTAAATCGGTTGCGGTCATCTGGAAAGCCCCAAAGAGAGCCCGGACCAACACAATAGATGTGTAATTCCAAAGGCAATCTGTGCGAACGCCGTTGCCTCCTTTGATGGCACGTGAATGATTATTTCCCTTGATTTTGAGCGAACCAATCCCTTCTCTCTTAGCTTTTACACTACAAAATCCTACAATTTATCGTACCGTCCGCCATAAGCCCGTATTTATTAAAAAAAAAAAAAAACGTCAGTGCTGGTGCTGTCGTTACCGCGGTGTTGGACCACTTTATATCTTATAATCATTCCCGTAACACGCAACAGGACAGTGCCAATAATCTCTTAATAATTCCGTACAACCCGTCCCTCGATGAAAAACGCCGTATGTTTAAAGAAGCTGGCAATGACATTGTTTTTACTTACCCGAACACCTTGAGTAATACTTTGGTTAGGCATAATATAGTTAGCGGTGCTCTTGATACCCTTCCAGGTATTTACACGATTCCTTGTAAGGACTGCCCGAAATTTTACGTAGGCGAAACCGGCAGAACTTTTGAAAAAAAATAAAATAATAATAATAAGGAGCATAGACATGTCAGATACGCCAGAGAATCTAATGCTTGTTTTATTCCTTTACGTGACGAAGGACATGTTAAATTGGAAAGAGGCTAGATTAATTCATAGATCGTTAAATTCGTACAAGAGAAAAATAACTGAAGGCCTTCTCACTAGAAAATTGAGAGAGAGAGAGAGAGAGAGAGAGAGAGAGAGAGAGAGAGAGAGAGAGAGAGAGAGAGAGAGAGAGAGAGAGAAGAGAGAGGAGAGAGAGAGAGGAGAGAGTGAGTGAGTGCTGGCCAATGGGGTTGCATGATCTTTCCTCATCACTAGGTAGCAACGCCTTCCCAGACTCTTCGACCTTGACCCTCCCTCTGAGATCTGGTTCGTATCTGCTTCATTAAGTCTCTCTACTACTATATAAACTTGTCAGAATTCTCTCCTTGTATCCATTTCGGTTTTATTTGAAGAGGAAATCGTGGAGTTCGAAACGTTACGCTTTTAATTGTGACTATTTTCATTGTCATATGTATATATGTGTATGCATATCTACACACACACACACACACACACACACATATATATATATATAAACACTTCAGTCGAGTTAGTGAAACGCGGGTCGACATGTCCGTAGACTTTTGTGTGTTTGTACTGCTTTCGTCATGGTCGAGGTGAAAATGTGAACGATTTGCTTGGAAACCGCGCTTGTTGTGGCACTCGGACGCTAGCGGCGGCACTAAAGGGCATTCTGTATCATGCTAGTGAAGCGTTACGGAATTTCCCGTAGACTTTCACCGCAACCGATCAGCCCAACTTTGTTATCTTAGGGACAACCAAGAGCGTTAGCCGAGGTAATGAAACATGGGTGGATATTTCCGTAGACTCTCGCATAAACGTTCACCATGCCAATTTGCCCGACTCAAAATGGGGGTCACAGGAAAAATCTGTATAGTCAATAGTTAATGAAACAAGGAAAGCTATTCCCACTTACTTTAATGCAAACAAACCCTTTAAAGTAAACCGAGTAGGAAATGCTACATTTGAAGTAGATCGGCAGAAGCCAGTGGCAGCTTACAATTGGTCATAAAGAAGATAGTCTATGCAGTTGAGTTAGTGAAACGTGGTTATAAACTTCCGTAAACTTTAAGACCAACATCAACGGCCTAGTAGTGTACAGTCCAGAAACAATGTCATTGAGGCACTTTATAGTGTTAAACGGACGTTAATTTTGCCTTTCGCCCCAATCAATTAGACCCCATCGTGTCTGCAATATAAAAACCGCAGAATTTCTCCCTTGAAATGGGGCGCCGCAGGGGCTGGCAGATATTTCCACGCCGCCAACTCTCACGATTACACCTTCCCAACCACACTTCTACAAGTCGAAGTCTTTCTGATGCAGAGTATTTTCATTCAAATATGTGGAACGCGGAAGAAAGTTATTCGATGGCACTGACTGCCATTGATATTATATTTCTATTGAAAAATGCTACAAAATCTACAATTTTTCTCCATAGACCATAGTTTGTTGATATAATTGGCTCACTCAATGTTAAAAGCTAGAAGAGTCCTTAGAAGTTCTAGAGATCAGCTAAGTACTTGGGTGTTGTGCTTTTTCTGCCTACACTAAATTAGACTTTTTAAAGAATTTTTGGTACTTAGAGGAAATGTTCAATCACATCACACGGTATTGTGTAGTCATATAATGCAAAACTTAAACTGAAAATATAACAAATATATTGGTTTCTATTTACTGTCACTCTTATCATGGCTATTAAGAAATCTGCTTTAAAGTCCGAAACACAACGCTCGCAGCTTTCGGTCAGTAGTTCGCTTGCGCTCAGATCACCGGCAGATCACTCGAGTCTCCCGAAGCAGTGCTCTTCGTGCGCGGTCATTCCACGAAGGCCTGAACGCAGTGAAACATCGCTGACTACTGTCTCGCGATGTCACTCGTGCCCTTCGGTAAGACCTCCGCGATAAGCCCCTGCCACGTGCCTGGGTCCACTACGTGAAGGCCAAACGGAAAATTGTGAATAAAAAAAAATAAAACTAGGGGGATAAATTGTGATATGTGCAGATGTTAACAGTAAACTTCTATATTAGTAAAAAAAAAAAAAAAAAAAAAAAAAAAAAAAAAAAAAAAAATCGAACGATAAATATAGAAAGAGGCGAGAATGAGAACATCCGCATAAGTCGCATAACATATATTTGACGGAATTCGAAATTCCAAGCATCTCTTGCGTGGTCTCCAAATTCTCATGGATACTTTACTTTCAAAAGATATATTTTATATATCGCGTCGGAGTAAACTAAATATTGAATCTATCACAGTGCGGTAAGTTGCAAAGAATATGGTAAATATATTCCCTATATTTCATTCTGACAGTCAATTCTACAGGTTTCCACAGCTTGCAAAATTTCAAAGCATCACTTTCGACACTGCATTTCAATACCGTGGTCGTGTAATGGCCGAAATTGTATAGCTGGCGAGTCGAAAAAATCTTAAACATAGATACGTCCTTCCAACGGACACATCATACGAGCAGTCTATGCCGCCAACAGCTTGTCGAAAATGAATGGATTTATTCATGTCTTATTGCGTTATCGATGGAGTGCGTGCAGTCAAAAATCGGTGAGCTATGGATGCTCGTAGACTTTCACACAAAGTAGTTATCCCGACATTTCCGTTGACAGAACGAAGCCGAAATTTTATTAATGGAAATGGGGCGCCATGGAGAGTTTCAGTTAATGAAATGTGGGTATACATCCCCGTAGACTTTCGCTCAAATTCATCATCCCAATATTACTGCTTACAGGACGAAAACAGGGTTTAGGCAGTTGCTGTTGACACATTGATGTGCAATTCTGTAAGCTTTCATGCCAAGTAATTTGGTCTATATTGCCGTTTGCAATACCTAAGCCGAGAAGTTGTCTTACTGGAAATATGACGTTGCAAAGGGTGACGTCGAGTTTGTAAAACATAACCGAATGTTCGTTTAGTTCACCTAGATGATTTCAAATTAAGTTAATTATGAGCGTTACGAGCATCTATGACCAAAATGAAAAAATCCGATCCTCGTGTCCATCATCTCGTAACCATAACTGACCTTCAGGTTTGGGGATGATGTTGCCGCCCGGTGACCTCGGCGCTCCCCGCGCGGGTCCATCTCCCCCAGACGTCGTTGATCACCATCCATCAACTCTGCGTCTGCTGCGCCGGCTTCCCCTTTCGATGCTGGGGCTTGTGGTTTGTCCTGAAAAGATAGGATAGTATATTCCTAGATTTGAAATTGCTAGGCTTATCTTCATTATCAATTCGCTATGACGCAATTATTCTTGCAGTATGCCAGATATTTTCAGAAATATTTGCAATCACTTTTTTTGGGATCCTGCAGGACTTTCACCTCATTATCACGGCCTGTAGGGGGCGATGTAAGCTAAAATCAGTTATCGTTTTCTCATAATACCAACATAATTTTCATCTAATTTAATGGAGCTCATTTTCATTTCAACCTTTTTGCTTTAATATCAACAGACCCAGCATTCATTTGGCGTTATTTTGTTTTAGCATCATAGAACTAAACCATATCTTACCGGGAGACGATATAAAGATCATTTCCATAAACTCGATAGCTTTGCTCGCGTCCTCGGCGCTGTATCGCCTTCTCGACTTCTGAATGAGGTCCAGCGTCTTCTGCCTCAGGTCTTCCAGCAAATGCTCATCTTCAACGTGACTTCTCAACTCTGAGCTCGAACGGCTTTCGTCCCCTTCCGTTCTTCCGGAAGTGTGTCTTCTTGAGCCCTCCAAACGCGCGCCTTCTCCTCCAGGCAGAGTGGGACGCATTCCTTCGCCGTCACTGTCCTTCCCCAGGCGGCCGGACTTCCCCTCCTCTAATGAAACAATCTGAATAATCTCCTCATTTGTACTAAACCTATTTTCCGCGGGGGAAGAAGGCGCCATGTCTTCCGGCTGAACTAACGATAAGACGGGATTTCCTGGGACCAGGCCCTTGCTTGATTCTGCGGACATTAGTTTTAAAAGTTCCAAAGCGTCGCGGCCGTTTCCTGAAGCAGCCATGTCTTCGAACATCTCTTCCCCGCGCTCGGCATCGCCTTCGCTTCTCCTCGGTTCTTCCTCTTCGAAGAAACCCTCGTCCGGTTCGCTTTTATTTCCCGTGTCCGTAGTCCTAAGTCCTTTTTCCTCCTGAACGGGAGTCCTTGCTCGGCCATCTTTCATTTCCACGTTTTCGTTCCCCGGTTCCTGCTCTCCTGCCGCGGGACTTTCTCCAAGTTCCGCCGGACCTTCTTCCATCCTGCCCTTGCGGTCGTCCTCGCCTTCATCGGCCTCATGCTGATTCCTGTCCTGCTTGCTTCTTAGCAGCTCAGCCAGAAATTCTGGAACAGTTTCCTCTGCTATTGCGAGCCTTTCCAAAATCTGGGGATCTTCCTGAATAAGAGCTCTTCTGAGCTTTTCCAGCATTTCCTCAGATATCTCATCCATCCAGTTCTCATTTCTCATGCTAGAAGCTTCTGCCAAAGCTTCCTGTATTTCTGCATTATCCGTAAGTGCAAACATTTCTCGCAGTTCCTCTAAGTGGTCCATGATCTCCATGAGGTCTACTTTCGTGTCTTCTGGCAAACTGACTTCTGCCGGAGGGACGTCAGACTCTTCTCCTTGCGCTTCGACACGTTCCGCCCCTTCAGCATCACTTCTCTTCCACAGTCGTTTTTGGCGCGATGCATAGTGGCTTGCTTGCTTGCCTGCTCTCTCGCTTTCCCATTCGTCTCTCAGCGCATCCAATCTCTTCTTTATTCTCTCTATCATTTCCTGAGTCTCTATATCGCTTCGTCTCGTTTTCGTATCTGTTATTTCCTGTTGCAATCGCCTCGACCTCATGTACTGCCTCCTTGCCTCGTACTTCTCAAACAGGAATTTCTCCTGCCCGGCGCCCTCGTGCTTGCCACGGCCGGTCGGCGCCTCTGCATGCTGATGAGGCTGCGTGCTGTCTCTGTGCGGCCCGTGGAGGTGGTGGTGCTGCTCCTGGCGGGACCCGTGCACCGCGTGCTGGGAGCGATGCTGATCCCCTTGTGCCTTGTGCGACATCGCCAGGAGGATCAGGAGGGACCCACCGAGGCACAGACTGCCCCCGAGAACCATCTTGTCTGCCGGAGAATGCAATGGGGTGCTACGTACATTACGGCCAATGAAACGTTGGTTTGCTGATTATTTCTGCAATCTGGCGAGAACATACATGAATAAAATTTAATTTCTGAAGAGCGTATTTTTTTCATTACTAATGGCAAGATATATCCCATGTGGAATATAAAGCGAAAAGATTGGCAGAACATATCAGCACTGACAGCTTACACCCTAACTTCTCCAATACAAATAAAACATTGTTTCGGCCAAAAGGGTCAGGCCTGCGTCTCCGCGTCCCTTTAGGACTGTCATGGCGAGTCGTGTGGTGAACTAAGGATACTTTTCTCAATCTTCCTTATTCTCTTCCTCCTTTTCTTATCGACCAGCGAAAGTAAGGGTAGTAAAGTTAAGGAAAAGGAAGTTCTATCAACAAGACCTTTCAGATAAGATCGTTGTAATAGAAAGATATGTTTCTAAAGACTTACACTTGAATGGTGCTGCGGATGCACGATTAGGTACAGTCGTTACGAACTCAAGGGGAAATAATTGGACTTAAGAGAAACTGGGATGAAGAAGACAGACCACCGCTTTAATGAAGCCACTTAAGAGGAAACGACCAACTACTTTTTGGGTTTATCAAACCGCCTTTTTATGGAGAATAATGGATTCTTTTCTTTCGTCATTCGCTCCACATCACCCAGGGGGGAGGGGGAGGGAAAGAGGAGGGAGGGAGATATAGATAGATAGAGAGAGAGAAAGAGAGAGAGGGGGGAAAGAGGGGATAGAGAGAGAAAAAGAGAGAGAGAGAGAAAGAGAGAGAGGGAGGTCTATTTTCTACCAGTGCTCATGATTCGGGAATCTCTCGCAGATTCCTCAGAATGACTTTCATGCTTCGTCAAACCAACTCGCAGGGAATATAAAATATAATGATGTATTATAACCAATCCAACTCCTCCTTTTTTACTGTTTTCCATTTTTCTTTTTTCTCTTTGTTTGTTTCTTTGTTTTCTTGTCTCATTTCCCTTCGTTCGATCTTGTTTCCTATTTTTTACCCCCTTATTTTCCATTTTTCTTTCTCTTTCTTTTTTTTCTCTCTCACATTCCTTCATTCGATCTCGTTTTTTTTAAATTGTTTTTACCCCACAACGCAGACCGTTGACGCAAAAGTCTGTCCTTGAACACGAGATTAAAATCTCGAATAGCAATAGAAATGCAGCGAAATCTGGATAACGACGGATCTGCGCAAAAACGTCATCATGTTATGCTTTGGCTTCGTCCTTGCATTGCGCTCCAGCCTCTGACTTCCTTTGCTGGATAAGATAAGCTTGGAGTTGCAAAGGCGAGGAGAGAGGGAGGAAGGGCGAGGAGAGAGGGAGGAAGGGCGAGGAGAGAGAGGGAGGAAAGGCGAAGAGAGAGGGAGGAAGGGCGAGGAGAAAGGGAGGAAGGGCGAGGGAGAGTGAGGAAGGGCGAGAGAGAGGGAGGAAGGGAGGAGAGAGAGGGAGGAAAGGCGACGAGAGAGAGGGAGGAGGGCGAGGAGAGAGGGAGGAAGAGGAAGAGAGAGGGAAAGGCGAAGAGAGAGGGAGGAAGGGCGAGGAGAGAGGGAGGAAGGGCGAGGAGAGAGGGAGGAAAGGCGAAGAGAGAGGGAGGAAAGGCGAAGAGAGAGGGAGGAAGGGCGAGGAGAGAGGGAGGAAGGGCGAGGAGAGAGGGAGGAAAGGGCGAGGAGAGAGAGCGAGGGAGAGGGAGGAAAGGCGAGGAGAGAGAGGGAGGAGAAGGCGAGGAGAGAGAAGGAGAGAGAGGGAGGAAGGGGGAGAGGAGGGAGGAAGGGCGGAGGAGAGAGGGGAGGAAAAGCGCGAAGAGAGAGGGAGGAAGGCGAAGAGAGAGGAGGAAAAGGCGAAGAGAGAGGGGAGAGGGCGAGGAGAAAGGGAGGAGGGCGAGGAGAGAGGGAGGAAAGGGAGAGAGAGAAAGGGTGAAGAGAGGGAGGAAGGAGAGAGGGAGGAAGGGCGAGGAGAGAGAGGAGGAAGGCGAAGAGAGAGGGAGGGGAGTTTGTCACGGAACCAACAATCGTTGCCATGTTTATGTTATTCGATTACAATCTTTTTTCCCTTCTCTCCTTGGCGCGGATGCTTGTTTGCTCTCACTTCTTTCAGTCTTTGTTTTCTTAGTATTTCTCCAAAATGAAAATTCTTCATGATTGACCTTTCCTTCTTTTGGACGAGGATACCGGCCGCAGCTCTCGTGTTCGCTCGGCCCTTGACTGACGTCGCGCGCGCTCCCCCGCACGTGCATCGCGCAGAGGTGGCCACTGGCCTTGGCCGCGGAAGCAGACGTCGGAAAGAAAGGTCTTCGTAACTTGTATTCTATTTTTTTTTCTTTGCTTTATTATTATTATCATTATTATTTTTTTTTTTAGCAAAGCTTGAGACGCGCATCCCTTAATACAGACGACTTACAAGATCATACATACAAATGATCCAGCACTCTGACCCTTACTGCATTATTCAGCGCTCATTTTTTCCTCCCAATAATTCTCTCGTGCACACGTTATAGTCACGAATAATGGGAAGAATAATGATGATGACGAAAGGCAGCAAAACAAAAAAATCTGAATACAAAATAACAAAATCTGAATACAAAACAACAAAATCTGAATACGATGTAGAAATTTCTGATTTTAAGACTGGAGATTTGCA